CAGAAGTTACAGGTAGCCCAAGCTCACTACTAGGAAAGCGGACGTGACTCTTACAGGCTTATTGCCTTGTTGTTTTCTACCCGAGTTAGCGCTATTTTGGTGAACACCAAATAAGCGCTAACTCGCCGAAAACGCTTCAAAATGGCCTGAGACGCTGGTAATCAACAAAGAAAACAACAAAGCAATAAGGTAAGTCCATTTTATTTCAAAACAAGACATTTTTTCTCTCTTTTAAGGCAAACCGATGACATCCCATACAAACCTTTATGAATATAAAACGTTGCGCAACACTGCATGAGTCACGTCTGCTTTTCTAGTGGTGAGCTTGGGCTGCCTGTGCAGAAATCGGCAGGTTTTGACTGAACATTCCGTGAAAGTTAGGCCGTTTCTTTTTCCTTTCGCTATAGGTGAATATGATTTGATATATGAAATATATGAACTTCATATATTTCGTTCTATCTGATAATTTGATATATTCTGAATGCGTAGAGGTATTTTTCGTACGTATTTGTCGCGTATTCTATCGTTCTCAAGGAGAAACGCAAGCACTGTTTTTTGACATGTAATTTGAAACTGGTTTTCGAGAAGGTCAAATTCGTTGTACGTCGTAGTTTGAAGCCTTTCAAAGATTTGTATGGCCACTTTGATCCTTCTTCAACAGCTCTGACCAAACGCGCTCAAACGCACTCCAATGGTACAAATGTTTTCTGTATTTTAAGTGATAGTGTTTGAGACTCTTTTGTGGAGCGAAAAGGCCCATTGTTACGTTTAGTGTGTTGCGTTACATAGCGTTACTACTGCAAGGACATTTACTGTTTGTACTAAATCTTGTTGTAGATCTACTTTCCCTTAGAGAAGGAAAATTAACTAATCGCGAGTGTCGTGTGGTAAATCTTCTATTTTGATCACTGAATGAAGGACAGTTTAATTAGAGCAATGAAAAGAGTCCCTTGATCCATAAAAGCGTCTATCTTGCGTGAGGCGACACGCCGGAAAGCCGGAAAGCAAAGGTAGTCGACCGTTTAAAGGTGTCAGTACCATTCGCTAGCCCTTTTAAATCTTCTACCCTCAAAGTTTAGGTCTTATTGGGATATCTCCTAATGACTCTCTTTTGCGATGTGATAATAGGGGTCAGTTTTGAGGTGTCATTTCCCCATCTCATGTTCTTGAGGTTTGGCAAAGCCGGATGACAGAAGGCAATATTTTCTTCTGTGCAGAAATAACTCCAGAGATACCTTTTCTCAAAGCCCTCATCTAGGTTTCCCCTATTCTTTCTCGAAGGGTATAGTGAAACTCTGTACGTTTTTACTAAACGTGGAGCGAGACAAATTCGTTCTTAAGAGGCGTGGGGCTTCTCCTTTCACAAATCCCGTATTTACATACGCTTGGTGGAAAAAGTTCGTGTATTACAAGGTCTCCGTCTCTTTTATATGCATTTCCATGTCAAGGGTCAATTCCCTGTTAAATAACTCGCGTCTAGGAATATCATTTCTGACTTTGAAATTACTCATTCCACCGTCGGTTGTGAGTGTAACTGTTGCCATTTGTGTTGAGATTCTTAGGCAGATTGCGGTTTCGAATCTTTCTTAATAACGTCAGTTGCCTCCTAAGAACGAATTTGTCACGGAGGAATGACGGGATTCGCGCAGGCTCGTCCGGTAAACTTTTTAACTTTTGAAGGAACGGCAATGGACAGTGAATCCCCATTATACCTCGCTGCCACCAAAGAAGTGCACTCCAACGCGTCAAGATGCAAATGACTCAATTTTTGTTTTACGACCATGATGCAACGTAATCAGAATGCGCACACCGCCTAGTGTGCGGCCTACGACCGCGGTACGTTCTGGTTCAAAAGTTGCTTCGACCTCATTTTCATATAACCTCCTTGCGAGTAAGGTCGGCATAAATTCCTGGCACTTATGTTATGTTAATATGGGCAACAGTCCTTGGTTAGTGTATTTAAAAGAGGTGAAAGAGAAACTTTCATTTTCCGCCTAGAGGAGAAACGATGTGGTCACGTGGTTTGTCGAAGCTCGGTCACGTCTATCGCAGGGCTCAAAGTACGGAGTCATGAATGAATGTTGCAGATGTCCGCGCTTAAAAATTGCGTCAGAGGTCGACTGCCTGTCACGGTTCTCGAATAACTAACTGAGCGGCAGTCGGAAATGCCGCTTAAAATTTATGAAACCGAGACAACCTTTACAATCCAATTATCATAGTCATATATCGACAGAGTTAAGCAATCCCTGGGAGATTTATAATTTTCAGGTATAACGCTCAGTTTACGCTGGGCTTAGAGTCAGCATTCATGATTTCATTCACAAGCCAACTTCAACTTGAATCAGGATATGCTCGTCCGTCAGGAATCTGTCAACTGTTGTGAACAATGTAAACGATCAACTTCAAAAATGAAAGTGTCACCGCCTTTCAACACGAAGAGGACCAAGACAAGATGAACAATTTCATATTTACTTGATATTTCACTTTTCCCTGCCTTCTTTCAAAGTAGTAAATTTTCCGTGACTCAAAGTGAAATTCCGTAACTTTTCCCGAGCCTTTAAGTAAATAATTTTAGTCTGAAATTTCCTGACCTGTGAAAACCACGCCTAACATAATCACGGCTGGAAACGAAACACTTTTTCTTTTTGAAATAGCTTCTCGTTGACCATAAAAACGATGAAGGACAGGCACCATCACTCACTTTCCACCTCCTAGTTCGACTGTCTGCAAACTTAAAATCCTCGTCTTCGAAATGGTTACAGCACGGCTTCTGTACTAGATGTATAATTTGATTTATTTTATTCTTAAAGTCCATATCTGTTTTAAAAGAAAATGAAAACAACCATGACATTTAGAAATCAAGATGACAGTCTGATAATGTACCATTCTCTACGCTAGGCAGTTAATTTACGCTGCGACTTTAGGCCACGTGACCAATCTAGGAACGCTACAAAGATCTATTTCAAACCGAAATGGTGCCTTCGAAGGCTTTGTTGTCATGCATATAAAGTCTTGCACAGATGATATGGTCAATTGCTAACTTTGGATATTGACTCAGAGTTGAGTTAAAACAATGAAACTTTTAAAAGTAATTTTTTTTTCGTCAGTCAACACTTTGGCCTCTACGGGATCTCGGGGGCTTTCGAAGAGCGCGCATCTTTACTTTGTGTCGTACGCTGAACACTCTGTTGCTAAGGCAACCCACAGAAAAGCTATTGTTACGGCATCCCGGCGTTGTTGTTTCGCAGAGTTGATCCCAACAGTGTAAGAGCTTTTGCGCTCTACGATGGTTTTTGAGGGTTCCAACAAGGACTCTCCGAAGACTCCTGGAAAAGGAATTGTTTTAAAGAAGTCTCAAAAGTCTAAGTTTGAGAAGCAACGAGAGGCAGAAGTTGTCAGAAATGCTCTCGAGCGAGGCTATCTGCGCACTCCAACAACGAATGATATTTGGGAAAGTATCGGCGAAAAGTGCGATCTTGATGACGTAAACTACCTGAATATGAGTAGGATATGCCTTCATACAGTTCAAACTATTAACTGGTGCACGAGACTTCGAATATGCGTTTTGCATTCCAACTACATTTCTTCATTTGATTCTCTGTCATCTTGTAGGGATCTTGTTTACTTAGATTTGCATAATAATCAGGTGAGCTTTTCATTCCCTGTTTGCCGTGTACTTCGAAGCTTTACATACACTCGAGTCAATTCCGAACGTTTCAGATTTTCAAAGTGGCATCGTTTCATTTTCACTATATCATGAGTGAATTTCGGTTCTCACTATCTCAAACCACCAAGAAGGTTGTCTTATCAAAGGTTCCCGGGACATCTACACCATCACACTGGTGGACCCGAGCTGGTTTATGAGGCATCGGACATCGGAGAATTCTCCGGCTACTAAGCATAATTCTTTGACTTAATTTCGATGCCTTGACGCATTTTTTCACTAAAAATGGAGATTATTCAACAGTTACTTACTAGTATTTTTACGTATTTATACGATGTCTCTACTTTATTCCATATTGAAATTGAAAAACCTGTCAATTAACGCAAGTATTCCTGAAAGCGGGAGGGGAAACGTTGTATTATTTATTTAGTTTTCCTTGCTGATCTTTTACATTATTAAACATACACATTCAGAGTTCTCCAGAAGCACTACTAGCGAACCCAGTGTAATAGCGTTGAAGAGTAATAAAGTAGATGTAGCTGGCATTTTTCACTATAAACTTATTTTTGGTGAATGGCTATTGTATGTATTTTTAATTTATATTTTATACTTTATAGTTTGTGTGGAGGCGCGATGGCCTCATGGTTAGTGTGCTCGACTCCGGATCGAGTGGTCTGGGTTCGTGCCCCGGCCGGGACATTCTGTTGTGTTCTTAGGCAAGACACTTTACTCTCACAGTGCCTCTCTTCACCCAGGTGTATAAATGGGTACTGACAATTTAATGCTGGGGGTAACCCTGTGATGGACTAGCATCCCATCCAGGGGGGGAGTAGAAATACTCCTAGTTGCTTCATGCTACAGAAACCGGAGTTAAGCACCGGCCTAATGGGCCACTAGGCTCGTAAACAGACTTTACTTTACTGACTACTTTATAGTTTGTATTTATATATCAAAATTGATGATAGTTAAGTTAATGTTGATAATGATGATGATTGTAATAATAGGATTAGACCTTTTAGCAGCATATATGAAGGACAAAATCTCTGATCTTTTCTCATCAGATAGCAAAACTCCCTAATCACAAGTTTTGGGCATCACTCATCGAACTTAAGGTTGTTTTTCTACACAACAACAGCATTTCTAAACTTGATGATGTGAACTATATGGCTGCATCTCCAAGCATTTCTATTCTGACTCTACATGACACTCCTCTCAGCTTGAAACCAAACTACAGACATCATTTGGTGAACAGTTTGTGGTCACTGAAATCCCTGGACAATTATGTCATTTCTGACGAAGAAATCATAGAGGATTCATCCTTTGGTGGTCGCTTTGCACCCCTACAATCAAGTTTTTACTTTAACTGTTCTTGTTCTCTCACAAAGGTAAGAAATAAATATGTCTTGAGTATCTGGCTTGGCCGTCAATCAAGTCACCTGACTTCAGTTGCATCAGATAAAATCAAATCAAATCCTATATTTAAATCAAAAGGTGTTAAACTTGTGAAGCTTGTGAGGGCATTTGAAATAATTTATTTCAAGTACACATGTCAGGTAGAGCATGGCAGAGCTTACAATGGAAAAATCATATTTGCTTAAGGGGTTTGAATCCTTACACAAGACAGATTTGTCTCTATTCCTTGTTCACAACAATTGTTTGATGTTTTTCTTTACAGTAAAGCTGTCTTTCAATTTACTTTCTGTTCAACCTATTTCTGTATTGTTTAGCTTTGGTGGCCAAGGTAAAGTCTTTGAGAAAATTAAAACCTATAACTAGTAATGAAGGTATATGCTGTATCATACAATGTGGCTTGATAACCTCTGTAAATAAATTGTATCTGGTCAAGTTAAGAAGATCAATTTATTTGGTTCTTTCAGGAGAACACTTACAAAGAAGCTATAAAAGAAGTTAACCGACTTACTGCTGAAGTGAATGGAATTCAGGCAAAATATTGCCCTGTGTTGATAATACAGAAATGCATCCGTGGACACTTGACAAGACTGAGGTTTAAGTTCATTCAAGACACGAGATTATGGTAAGACTGAAGCAAACTAGAGTTTAATGTATGTGCCTTGGCTCAAACATAGTTAAGTTAATAGTCTTAACCCATTATACCCTAAAATCATCAACCATATTCTCCATAATGCTCTCTCTTTACATTTCCAATTCCAGGGAGCTTCTCAGCAAAGCTTCTTAATAAGCAATCATTTTTTTTTACCCTCATTATTGTTATGAGAGATTCAACAGTATTGCTGTAAGGAGAACTTAGATGCTGGTCACTCTCAGGTCTTAAAAGGTTTAGGGAAGCTGGCACAAATCCAGGATTAAAAGTCCAGAAAGCATTTAAATCGGACATTTTAAGGCAAATCTGATCACACTGGCCCATCAAAACTAAAGTAAAGTATCATAAGCAGCATGAGGAAACACAAGTGAACGAGAGGATTATACAAGTTTTCAGGACCAGTGTAAAGCTGTCATTAAGCAAAACCAGTGTGAGACCGGATTACCTTTGACATGCAATCAAAAATTGCTTTACTTTGAATTTAATCTCCCCTTTTTCACCATAGAGGTACCAAATGTTTTGCTTTTTGGTCCTCACTTATTGTTCACCCTTTTGATGCCCAGTGATCAATGCATAACTTCTCCTTACAATATCAACAAACCGGAAAGTAGAATAGACAAAGTGTTGTGGAAGGGTATTATCTTGATGTAACTGGTGAACTTACTTCTCTAGTATTTGAAAGAAAATGAAAAGAAAGAAATAAGTGACCATGGATGTTCTCTTTTTCTTCCGTACGTGGGGCTGAATAACTAGCTAAACCTGCTCCTCAAGTATTTTTTTTTTGTGTCTCGTCATCAGGGCTGCAGTCTCCATTCAGCGCTATTACCGTCACTACAAAGGATACACAGACGGGGGTACGCTTCCACCACCAACATCCCCAGCCCCCAGCCGTTCCAACTCGGCCCAGACTAGCTTTGATTACGAGGTGTATTTGCATGGAGTAAAACCCGGTTATCCGATCAGTCCCAGGACCTCCGCTGGGAGCTTTGCAAGATGCCCACGTAGTCGTAATGTGTCCATTACCGTGGAACCTATCGGAAGCATCACTGAGGAAGGCGAAAGGAGAACAGAGGGAAGAATTGCTACTTCCCCGGTAGAAGATTTTGAGATTCCAAGGAAAGACAGTTTCCCGGTCAGAATTACTACTAGAATTTCTTTGAACCTGAAGAAACTGGAAACTAGTACTTCTGACGTAATTAGGGCTAAAAAGGAAGCTGTAACTAGTCACAAGAACGTGGGTGTGATCGATATCAAGCTCAGAAAAAGTATGATTGAAAGTCGTGAGTCGATGCGGATCAAGTTAGCCACACGAAATGACATCCGAGCGAAGAGTAAGGAGCTGCAACAGGAGGAACAAAAAATGGGAGAAAAAGAGAGAAAGAGAAAAAAGCCGGACCGAATCGGCAAGTATACCAATGTACGGGTTTTCTTGGGGCGAGTTGTCGACACGCACCCGCGCACCGAATGTGAACCAAACGACACCGAGCATGAGCCGAAGAAACAACGATTTCGTTTGTCGGGTCTTTGCCCCCCAATTCTAACAATTGACCCGCTGCGAGAAATGCTTATTTCTAAACAGGAGGCTGGAAGGGACGTTAGAAAGGCGGCAAGAGAAATAGAAAAGAAAGCAATTGATGAACCGAAGAAAGTTGTTACTAAACGTCAAACGGTCACCACAGACCAAAGATTATTCATCCGCACTCATGGCACGATGGGCTTGGCGTGTTTACGAGCCGTTCAGCATGCCTACAGAGAAAGGGAGCGAGCTGATGCTGTCTCTTCAAAAGCCGTCGCAGTGGCGCAGATAAGAGAAGACCGCGAGCAAGCTAAAGAACGGGTCAAGATATTTAAACAGGAGTACAAGGAGGCATCGCTGAGGAGGAGAGTTCGAGATGGTGTGAGGACCGCCGAGGCTCTCAAAGAGCAGCAAGCGAAGGAAATTATTGAACACGAACGGCTGTCGACAGCACGAGCTGTCACTGCGGAGCAACTGAAATCCAGACGGGCGGATTGGGCGTTCATATCAGACTTCAATTGTCAGCACACGTCCATCTCCAACGCGTTGCAGCGCCATGACCGCGCCTCACAGAGAGGCGAGCGTGTGCAAGAAATTGAAGATACCGTGCGTAAGGGAAAAGAAGTATCACAAGATCAACAAGCTTTGGTACGTCGATACATGGAACACCGGCAGTTGTTACGTCAAGCTGAGACGGCCATGGCACGGGCTGAGCTGGATTCGCAATTGACACGGGAAGCCAGTCAGCGCAAGGCGGCCGCAAAGGAGCGCGTGGCACAAATAAAGGCGCGAAATCAGGATACACAGGAGTTTTATTGTCCGCCTGTGACGCATGCCCCGGCGAGACTTCCTCCTCTGGCCGTTATATCGCCGGAGCAAACGGACGTCTGGAATGATTTGGAAAAATTTAAATGGACTCCGGCCAGTCACGAGCGCTGCTTTTCTGAGCCTTACGGTAGAGTGGTATCTTCAAGAAGACAGCGGATGTACTCACTAGAGCCCACGTATGGCATGGCATGATGTATGAAAACATGGAAAATGTAATTTGAACAAAATGCAGTGTGTTATTTACGTAGCTAGCTAGAGATTCGAGTTTCTTTTTTATTTAAAGAACACTGTACTTGATCGATGGGGAAGTTTAAGTACATTCCGACATTGCGGATTAAAGAAATTCTTATTTATTTAAACCAGAATGTATAATATAAGTAGCGAAAACTGGCTTGTTTGTCATTTT